ATATGAGTATTGGTTTTTCTATATTTATCGATGCGCCTTTCGGTGTACTTACTTTTGCCGTACGCTGATCAAAAATTTTGTAATTAAAACCCTAAAGTTCATTTAACCATTGTCTAATTGTAGTGTTGAAGCCTACCAAAACAACGATTAAGCGAGCAATAAGCCTCAAAAATAAACTTTCCAACAAGATTACACTAACACCCAAAATGTTCACTACATGGTAAAGTTAGTTAAAACTTGAGCAATACTTAAAACATTAATAATATTGTGCGTATTATTATTACACCCATCGACATACCGTGACATCGATTATGTTATGACACAAGTGCTTTGTATCATGCGTGACTAAACACCGACTACTTACTACCGAAATTATTTATGAACCTTGGCCGCCACACTCCATGAATTTGTCGGTGAAGGTCAGGGAATGTCATTAGATACATCCTTATCGCATTATCTTGGGATAACAGTACTAATGGAATCTGTGCTTTGTTTTTAGATCACTTAGGTCTAATTTGATTCGAAGTGGTTAGTTGTATTCTTGTAATGTACGTGTGTGGAAGTTTCGAAAGAGTATGATCATTTCGGAGTATCCATATTGCTTTTAAGAGGATTTTTTGGATATTTGACCTTGATTGGATTTTATCTTGAGTATACTGCTAATGAGTACTTAACTAGCTGTCTATTATCCAGTAATCTATAAGTGAAAACTGAAGAGAATTATTTAATTTAGTATTTTGAATAGCAACATTTATTTTATCTGTCAGTCAAAGTTCCATAGAGGCTCATCAGGTAATTCTACTGTCACAATTACAAAACACATGCCATGTATGGAACTCATTAACTTTTCTAAAAATAGCTTCTATGTTTGGTCTCCAAATAATAATTTTGACACCGTACCTACGTACAGTCTGCACAGTTATTTGATGTCCAGATACGAAAATAAAGATTGATTTAGTGCAGAAGGACAGTAACCTATTCGGCTACTGAGCTAATCAATGGCTACAATTGACAATTTTAGCTTAATTAAAAATCATTTAATTTCGGGTATAATATCTGGTGCCTCGTTTTTAAGTGGAAATAGGTGGAAAAATCATCGACTGACTTCTCCCGCCTAGGTGAGGCGGGAGGGAGTGTCAGACTCTTATTGACTAAAAACCACCCCGTTCCTACTCCTGCACTTCGAGCCGGAGCCCCAGTAACCCGTTAGGTTCACCGTGACTCCGTATCTGCTGCCTCTGTACATACATAATCTTTATATTCTCACTTGCATCCTCCTAATATTACAAGAGCGAAAGATTGTATGTTTGTTTGTTAATCCTACATGTCAAAACGGCTGAAAGGATTGAAATGAAATTTGGAATAGAAATACATTATTGGTCTGCAATAACACATAGCCTACTTTTAGTGCTACGGGAACGCTGGCAGAAGCCAGTCACTGAAAGCTCATGGGAATGGACATTATACGCATAAAATTCCTGTAGGACTGTTTATTTTTTGAATCGATTCTGATGAGATTTTTTATACAGCGTTGGAATTAACCTTGGAAAAGACTAATTAAAAATCCAAATTCTGCCATAAGTCATTATTATACGCGAACGAAGCCGCGGGAAACAGCTAGTTGATACTAAGTAATTGTGGAGGCTATACGTACGTACGTAATGTATGGATGTAGGTACGTATCTCTTTGCCTTACTCAAAAGTTTTACCAATATGTGTAAACTTTACAAACTCATAAGTGTCAGAGACGACACAGCGGTTTGCCTTGATGCCGACTGATGTGGGTTAACCGTTGCGGTCTTACGATTCGTTAAATTGCAATATTATTACGTACCTACCCATAATATGACATTGGTTTTGTAGCTGGTTTAATCGCTGCCATGTAAAAGTTTACATTTACGACATGTTTATTAGTAGTTTTTTCTCTTTCAATATTTTAGGCATGCTGACTGCATATTAGGGGCGTTGATGCTTGTGTTTAATGAGGAAATAGGGAGTTTTTTTTGCTTATTAATGCGCTTTGTTATTGCGGTAAATTTGTTGGATTATGTAATGTTGTTCTTTATTTTGTGAAGTTTGTATATATTGATTGGTGTTTTCGCAAATTCTCCAGGAATATTTGGAATTGTTACTGGCTGTATGTTGTGACCATACAGTACCATCTTACTGCTGCTGGCCGAAAAAACATGCCTTAATATTTTGTACTAGTAAAGTCAATAAAATATAATCTCAAACTCATCATAATATTTCTAAATAAGACACATGTAACGTGGTAAAGTTGTACATCTAAAAAAAACCCACAAACAAAACAAAACTAATTAACACACCAACGAAAAAGGAACAAACAATAAATAATTATCTACAAAACAAAGAACCGCAAGCATTAACAACAACGCAAACCTGATTAACTGACAAAACCGTGTCCGGCGTAGAAACGGAATCGAGTTGACAAAAATAGGATTAGCAGGTACGGTTCCGTCCGTAATATCGGCCGGCCGGGTTTGGTGCACTTCCCTAACTAAATTGTGCTGGTCGAGCGGAAATGTGACGTCACAATTTTGGGACATTTTGCCCCTTGGCTAGGCGTGGTAGGATTCGCTTGGAGTTCACACACAACCTTTATACGATTCTAATAATGTCACTTTCGTAGTTTTGTTTTTGTGAATTTGTGTATGGTTGTTTACCTGACCCGTTTTATAAATAAATGTGATTGTATTTGATTTAATAATTTGAGTATTGAAAGATGAGTATAACCATAAGCATAAAATTTGACTTTAGCGAATAAATAGGTTTGTTAAGATTAGAAACGAGCTAGCTGGAATTGAAAGAGTCAGGCAGAATTTAAATCTATTTTTTTCGGTATCCATCTTAAAGAATCTTGTTAACCTTTTTTAAACCTTGCCCCACACTAGGATTACTTCCTGTGTCGTCGGTACGTTTACAAACAAAGAAATTGACTTACATATCACACCCAGATCCAAAAGAACAATTTGTGGATCACGCAAAGAGTTGCTTCGTGCGGGAATCGACCCCGCTACACGTTCCACGGCAGCCAGTTGTCCAGCCACCGTGCCAACCGAATGCAATAACATCAACTTTTCATAAGTTGAATTGCAACTTGACAGACGATATAAGATAGCACAAGCCACTCCATAATCGTTTTCTACATCTCGAACCGTTGGCTTCTTTGAAATACTTTGTTATTATCAACCTCCCCATTTCACAGTCGCTGGTCGGAACTGAAATGTTCCTCTAGTACTCTTCAAACTGCAATAATAACATTTCATAGTAGTAACAAACAAGTCCTTAAACTTCACCAGCTCAAAGATTTTCTGCATGCTCTTTTCATGTTAAATTGCCGACCAAGTTTAGTTCTGCCGTTCTAAAACACGAATCATAAGATTTTTTCTGTTTTAAAGGAAAAGTTTAATGATATTGCAATTTTTACACGACTTTTATAATTGCTTGGAAATTGCTTGAGGAGAATTTTAAAGAAAGTAATGCTGCAATGACGAAAAAGTATTTATTTAGAGATGTTTCACAAAGATGCAGTAATATAATTAAGATTCTGTAAGTTGTGACTACTCAATTTGTAGTAAGCTCAGTAGAACATTTTTTTTTATGGCGTAAGCTGGTAAACGAGCAGACGGATCACCTGATGGTAAGCAATCGGCGTCGCTCATGGACACCTGGAACACCAGAGGCGTTACAAGTGCGTTACCGGCCTTTTGGGGATTAGGAGTTTGAGGATCGTTGGGGATTCAGGAATTGGGGAGATTGGGGAAAGGGGAAGGGGAAGAGAAGTAAGGCATACTAAAAACTAGCTAGTAAGACATAAAGAATCCGATGTATCGATGATGACACATAACCATAACAAGCCAAAAATAGGCCGTAAAATCACTACTTTCTAGACTCTGATCCAACTAGATACAGTACAGTACAGTAACGATTTTATCGTGACATGAAACACCACACGTACAGGACAGTAAAATAAAAACATAAACACTATGTTGCGACTGAGTCAGGAATCTAGTTGGATTGCGAATGGGCGGTCGTAAAACGAGTGTCATCTCATCATGGACGTGTGGACTTCGCAACAACTCCGATACCTCCGTTATTCCGTTTAGCATAATAGCCTTACCATTGCTAACTCTGTATGAATACACGAAGCTCTTCTCGACGGAATTGAACCGTATCGCAATGTCGCCATAGATATTCATTGAAAATATTTCATACTAGCAGCCCGTCTTCCCGTTATTTTTGGAAATTTGGATTGTTGTAGTAACATAACTACAATAGTTGGACATATGCTACCGCGGAGTTTTTTGAAGACATTATAATGTTCTTCAATGTTGTTGTATATTATTTTGTTCTATCGCTAATAGTTTCGGCAGCGCATTCGACGAAAGACATTTTAACTCATTTTTCTACAGCCTCGGTTACATTGTTCAAATTTTACCAAGGATCCCTAATTTTTTAAAAAAAATATATGCGGCCTATGTCAAATTAGATGAATGTAGCTTTCTATTGGTGAAAGAATTTTTTAAATCGGCCCAGTACTTTTTGAGCCTATTCATTACAAACATACAAAAATAGGTACAAATCTTTCCTCTTTATAATATTAGATAAAGAAAGTGTTGTCTCATGTTATCTCTATGATTGATAGTATCACGAGAAATTGTTTAGAAAAAATTGTAAGAGAATGATAGGTCATCATGAAGACTAAAATCTTAAAATCGAGAAATTGTAACTCCAAACTTGGTAATGCTGATTCAATTGAATTGTAGCTCAGAATGACGTACTATTTTACCGTTGCTCACGACAATGAATCTCTCAATGCTCGCACTATGCAAAATAATGATAAGTTACCTTTCTTTTGTGTCGCCCACGATGTTTTGCTTCGCAATCAAATCGGTAGTGTTAATTTTGAAAGTCATGTTCCTAAACCGACGTGGAAAGTGGATCGTGGCAAAATCTAATTCCATTTCTTTTTGTTGCAGGTAAAATTCTGAAACAAATGTCCGAACAACGAAAGTATTGGGAATTTCGAAAAGCAACCAATTTCGTCGATATTCTGAATGGCTTTGGCCATTGTTTTTCGTGAATACTAATCAGGTATTGTCAGTTTTTTAAAAACTTGTGCGCTTATGGTTGGTTATGACTTGGTTTTGCATACACAGAATAGAAATATGTAAGAAAGAAAGAAGGACATCAAAAGCATTTATTTGACAAGAACCCAAACATGCACTATTGGTTAATTAAGCAGTTTTATATTTTTTACACAATATATTTCCATGAAATGATATCCACGAACAGTTTCAATAACAATATTTTTTCTGTCCCCGACATAATTAATAACAGTCATTCTGCCTCCATCAACGTTGTAATTACCATCAACATCGGTACGTTTATTGTTCCTTATTACAGATTGTCCAGTGCCCATAATATTCATTGCACAAAATTTGTTTTCATCCACACTAATTATATAAGTGCAGCAATTTTCATTTGACCGGGGAAGTAAATGGGGAAAACGGTCCGTTTATCATTTATACGGAAGTTGTAACTGTTGACTTAGTTAATGCGCTCGTTTGCATTTAACCTGTTATTTACATTTACGCCTTTATTTTAGGCGACAATTTGTATAATTTATCTAATCGGAATCGTATAATGAAATAATTACAAATTGAAAACAACAGTATCTGCTTTAAGTTTGACAGTCATGCAATCATGCTTTGTGCCTCTGTTTTGTGTAGCGTATGATGATTTAGTGCAAGTTTTGTACTAGTTTATCCTCGTGGTTTTACTAAGAGGTTATATTAAGTTTAATAGAGGATATCACTGTAAATCGATACCGGCTCCGTATTCTAGTCTAAATTTTACCATAATACAAAATCCACTTTATTCGAGGTCGAAGAAATGGAAAGGGCAAGCGATGAATGGCTGAAATGTACCTAGAAAACTTTCTAAGGGAAATATTTTGTGTCAATATCACGAGTCTCCGTGACGTTGCATTCGTTTGCTCTTTTATTATTATTTACACTTTCCATTCCACCATTTTGTTGATATAAGCACTACGCATTGTCTATATTGTACGTAGGTATACGTTTTAAGTATTTGTGAAGCTAACACTCCAAATGTCGTTTTCATTCTTTATGTTTTGTCAAGTTAAATAAAAGATCTTTACCTATTTGTTCAGTGTTTTTTGAATGCTCTATACAAAAGCTGTCGAACGTACATAATTCAAGTAAATTACCAGCTTTGATGATAAATAATATTTCTTACATCTGTATATGTTTTGCAATCTTTTTAACAGTAGCTGTTTCAAAAACGATAAATAATGGTTTTATTGGTTGCTGCCATTCTCTCAGTCATTGAGGTTAATTTGTTGTTAAAAATATAAGTTTAACAGATTATCCTTATTTCAAAAATATTTTACTCGTGATAAATGACTTCTGTTATCAATATTATTTCGTAAGTTTAAGTACCTACAACTCATAATGGCGATAAAATTGATTGAACGCCAAAACCCTAATGATCAGGTATTCTTAAGTAACTCCGACAAATTACGAAGTAGATACGACATAGTTAAAACAAACTGCGACACAACTTATGTTAATGATAATTTGGTCTCAACTTACCGTATCTGCTCCTGACTCCGAAATTCGGTGTTATAATTTGAGGTTTATCCGGGAAGTTAGACCGACCGGTTTACGAAAGGGTACACCTGAAAGTATTTGAGAAGACTAATTTCATGGAACTTTGTGGCCTTACGCCTGAACAAGTTGGTCTGAGGAGTAAATATGACAATTAGCTTCAAGCTTCATGAACAGTGTAATTTGTCGGAACTTCCGAGTTTAAGTAGGGATTATGTAGAGGGAACTACACGAGTGAGCTTGATAAAGCGTCGATCGAGTAGAAGAATTTAGTTCTTGGCTAAGGATGTGCCTTATTGCTTTTAGAAAACAGATTGTTGGAAACCAATTTTGTATTTTAATCGTGACATGAAAAGGGTTTTGTTCTGTCTTTGGATGTTCTTTTTTTTATTTTGATCTTTTCTTTATGCTGTACGTGGGTATGTCATTGAACTCCTCCTAAACGGCTTGACCGATTTAAATGAATTTTTCTGTACGCGTTCGAGTGGCGCCATGGATAGTTTAGATTCACAAATTAGCCCGGCAGATGCCGCTGCAGTCGGTGTCTAGGTTATTTATTCTAAACGGCTGAACTAATTTGAATGATTTTTTGTTTATACATTCAAGTGGATATGCAGGACAACGTCTGTCGGGTCCGCTAGTATTATTATAGAGACAAATAAGTATCTAGACGGTCCTTAGTACAGATGATGGAATAGGAAAAATGTTCATAGATAGGTACCTAATTGTTACAAAATCAGTTGGTTTATTACTTGCAGACAATTCTCTTGACAATTGGACATTTGTCTTGAAAGTGTATTCCTGTTGGTATCTTTAAGATAAGTGTTTCATTTTATTTAAACACATGTTTGAGGGACAAGTAAGAAATACAACGCTACGCAATATGGCGTTCGCTGCTAAATTTCTATGTACAAATTGTGCCCCATTTTCGCTTGGCCACAAGTAAGTGCAAAATGTACCTCGCTGGCCGGAATATCGTGCCAAGAACCAGAGTTTACGATCGTATGTTTGTTTCTTTTTTATATTTCTACTAGTATATTCATACATTTTATTTATTTCTTAATTTATAGAAATTTTCTCACTTTCATTTATATCTTGACTACCTAATATAAATTCCAAAATCAAATTTAAGTCTCGGCTGATCAAGTTGATTATAGAAACCTCTTCTATATCTATCTGCACAAGAGCTTCATCGTTATGCTAATATGTTTATGATTGTCATTTTCTTTAACGGTGATTACGCTAAAGATAATTCTATAACACTGTTAAGTTAACATAGAGACTCGAAGTTCTGGCATTAAACAATAAACTTTCTTCATTAACTAATTATATCTAACAGCAACAGTTAATAATGATCCCGTCTAATATGGTCTTTGTCTCTGTCGTACTTTCATTAAACTTTTAAAGTCTGGGAAGTTTTAATTACAAAAAAGCAAAATACACAATACATAATGCCAAAAAAATTAAACTCATTTCGTGTTCAACTTTTATTGGTGGCTCGAATGAATTATTGATGTTGTACGCTCCGTTTTATCGCTCGCGTTATTTATTGCAATTACGATATTCTCAATAAAGATTTTTAACCTTTTCTACTGTAATACGGATATCGGAATGATTCTTTTGTTACAAAACAGTCTCGTTACTTACGTATCTTAACAAAGACTGTCTTCTTATTCTCATTGAAAGTCCTGCGCCCAACGGTTTTCGTGGATACCTATTTTTAGTTAAACCCCTTTTATCGTGAATAGTTTGAATTGTTGCCACTGGTCCTCTGTCGAACTGGGAGGATCAAAGGGCCCCCTTTTATACGATAGTACAAAGAAAACACGCGCCACGTCAGGATAACAGTTTCATTATGGATGAACTTCGACAATGTAGGATAAATTTTGCAAAGGTTCACTGTATTGCATATATATATGTGCCTGTATTCTATTAAAGTTTAAGATCCTGTTCTTCTGAAAACGGTTTCCCGAAGGTCACATACATTTTCTTGATTCAATTTACAGCTTTGTGCCTAGCTCAGATGTGAATAGAATGCCTATTTGTAGTATTTCTTTCAAAGTGCTGCTGTTGGCCATATTCGTCAATCTTTTTTGTTGCCAAACAAAGAAATTCTCAGCAATAGTCTTTTGTCACGTAGAGCATTCAGGTAGTCTTAGGGTCAAAAGTTTATCTAGATCATAAATTCTAAGAAATTGCACTGTAGTTAGGTACGTTAGGTTATACAAAGTAATTCTACATCTGTTTGGACATGTTTGAGGTTTTTAGTTTTGTAAGCATTTTAGTATTCTGTCATAGTTCACGTAACATATATGTGCATTGTGTTTGCAAAATGCCTGTTTGGATAATGCGATTTTTACTACTAGCTATGAGAAAATATTCTAAATAAATTTCTACCTTACTGTATTGACATAAAGTGTATTTGGATTTTGATAGATGGGAAAACGTATTACGGTTTTATTTAGTGCAACAGTCGTAATCGTAAAACTGGCCAGCGTGCCCGAGAGTACGTTGAAACGTTTGGTAATCTTATTTTGTGGCTTTGAGATATACTCTGGGAAAACTGAAATCGTGTTTTACGTGAATTGCTTTTACATTTACTTATTGAATGATTCTCCAGCGTCCTCTGGAATAAGATATGATTCTCTCTGTTATCTCTCATCTCAATTGAAAGTGGCCAATCGTCTTTGACTATTCAAACGTCAATGGATTCATTAAAGCATCTCGATTATCAAACAAATTGTTATCTAATTTAACTTTCTCAATAGACTGGTATCTTTAACGCAATCTTATTGATGTTCTTGTAATAAACTTTAAACATAAATTGTATGAAATCTCATTATCCCTGTTTCTGATTTATTTTATGTTTCGCGGCTTAAGGACATCGTTATTCGTTACGCGAAGGTAAATATTTTTTCTCTTGGCTATCAAACTTTCGAAAAACTCTGAATATATTCAGGAACATAAAAAATATTAAGCTATTAACTTAGCCAAAAGTTTTCGTAAAGGAGCGTATCAACGAAAATAGGTAAGTTAGCACAAAACTTATTCGTCTTACATTCTCAAAGGGATATAATTTGCGTTCACTTGACTAAAATGAAGTTTTGTGAAGATTACCTAGAGCGGGCTCAGTAATTCTGATGAAACGACTCAAATTATGGCTACATCGCTTCAAGCGCTTGCCTTTCCGCTGGCGTTCTCACAGTTACTGTTCCTGGCAGCTTACAATGCCTAAGTCGCCTCTACACCGGCTGAATCTTATTTCTAACGATATAAGAACCAATTCACCTCGCATCCGACCAAATTGTATCAGACTTTGTATCTTCTGTTTCGTTTAATATTTCGAAGAACAAGACGGGAGATCTTTTTAATTAGATCCGACTTGTATTATCAGGATTAATGTGCTTTACAATAGTTGTTATTATACTAAGAATTGCTCTCGAATTAATTTGTTAAATCAAC